TGAACTGCTGATAGGCCTAATAGTTTAAATTTTTATTATACTTTAATTTTAAAATTATTTATAAATTTAAAAAATATAAAATTAAGCCTAACAGCCTAATTAAAAAATTAAATAATTTTTTTAAAAAAAAGTATTTACTATACTAAAGCTAAATATTTTTAAAATAAAAAAATATTAATTTTATTTATTTACTAATACCACTTCCAACCCTGCTAAAGAGTAAAAATAATAAAAAAAATAATTTTAAAAAAAATATAAAAAATATACTAGAAATAAAGCTAGCACCTATTTTATATATCTAAAAATCATAATATTTAAAAATAAATAAGATTTATAATTTTTATTTAAAATATAGAAACTTTTCTATACTATATATAAAAAAATAAATATATTAAAAAATACTAAAAGCTTCAGCTACTAATAAAAACTATTGTTTAAATATATTACTAATATTATATAAAAAAAAGCTTTTTATTTTATAAAAACTAACTATAAATATTTAATAATAAATAGATTAAAACTAATTTAACTAGAGTAGTTTATAATAAATCTGTTTTTAAATACTTTAAAAAAACTTATATATATAAACTACTAGCTTAAAAATACTACTAGTCTAATATCTATTAATATATAAAATAATAAATAAAAAACTACTATATCTACTAAAAAGTAATTTTATTTAAAAAAATAAAATAAAAAATTTTAAAGCCTCTACTAGTATTTAAATAAGTATAGTAAAATATATTTATAGACTTTATTATATATTTATTTAAAAGCTAAAACTATAATACTATTTTAATTATTATTAATTATTTAATAAAAATAAAATATTTAATTTTTTATAATTTAATTACTAATACTACTGCTGTTGCAGTAATATATATTTAGTATATATAAAAATTATATAATTTATTATAATCTATTTTTTTAAATAAAAAATCCAAGTTTATTTTTAAATTTTAAAAATATTTAATTTAATAATTTAATATTACTAGTAAACTTTTTATAGTATATTACTTTAAAACTAATAGCTAGATTAAAAAAATTAATATAATATTTAAATAATATCTTTATATTTATATAAACTATTTATAAAATAACTAAAGCTAGTAGTCTTCTTTAGCTAAATTTATCTTAAATATAATTTATTTTATTATTATAAAAACTATTTTATTTTTTATAAACTATAGCTTTTACTTTTATATAGACTTTAAGCCTATAATAATTCTAAACAGCCCAGCTGCCAGAAATATAAACTAGTTTATTATAAAAATATAAACTATTATTAAGTTTATTAAAACAGAAATATCTACTATCTAAGCCTAATATAGAAAATAAGTAAACTAATAATATAAGCTAACAAAAATAATTAAAAAAAACTAAAAAGTATAGTTAAATATTTAATATATTAAAATACTAAGACTTAGTAAAAAACTTAACTAAAATATTTTAAAACTATATAAAATTTAAAAAATTACTAATTTATATATTTATTAACTAGCTTTATTTCCCAGTATAAAAATATATTTTATATTTAATACTAGTTTATTTATTTTTATTAGTGAAAAACTAGTTTTAGGCTAATACTAATCTCTACTACTGTATATAAAAATTAATAGTTTAAAAAAATAAAAAATTAAAAATATTTTAAATTTTATATTAAACTACAAAGAATGGGGTTTATTTTAACTAATATATATTATAAAATAAATTAAATATTTAGATCTAACTGCTAAACTAGTTTACTATTTAAAAAATATCTACTAAATAATTAAAAACTTTTATTATTATTATTTTAATAAATTATAATCTATACTTTAATAAAGCTTAGCTTTAAAAAAATATACTATTATAGTATAGATTTAATATACCTATTCTACCTATTCTACCTATTTAATTTATTTAATTTATTTAATTTATTTAATTTATTTGATTTATTTAATTTATTTTATTTATTTAATTTATTTAATTTATTTAATTTATTTAATTTATTTAAT